TCCTGGAAAAGGATTTTTGAATCTATAAAAGAGGAAAAAGTAATTGTTATACAAAAATTATGATTTAATCGGTAATATAAACAGCTTTAAGATCCCCTTAACAATCAAATTGAATTTATTAATTGTATATCTTGTCACACAGATAGGAGAAATAATAATTTCTCGAAATCTAATTGGAGAAAATTTAATTAATAAAATGTTTTCTTTGAATATTTAGTTCGCTAAATTGATTAGTTCGCACTGTTCTACAAATTTGGCAAAGATATTTTTTTATAATACAAACGCGAATCTCCATTTCAGGCAAGCATTATGGGAAATCGGTGGATTGGATGGATGCTACCGGCCGCGAGTTGTCTCTCTGGCAGAATATGCTCGAAAGGCCAAATTTCTGGGTCGAGGGCGCAGTGACATTAAGGCCGAACTTACACAATCACGGGAAGAACAACGGTACTTAAAAGCAGTAACGTGATAATGTCGCGCACTCTTTTCAGTTCTTGTTTCCGAGAGAGGAACGGTTCGCCAATTTAGTTCAAGTTGATTGTACATAGCTCTAAAAGTGTCGCGCTTACGACGGACGTAATCTTAAATATTTGCGAACGAAGAATCAGTGCCTTCGGAAGCGACGTGAACTCGTCTAATCTTCCTGAATGGATGTAGGCAAAAATTCTCTGCAAAATTCCCGTCAATCGTAAAAATCGTTTACTAGATTAGCCTGGACTGATGAAATATACGTCACTATCGGTTCCGAGCTTCATATTCTGTAAACAGTACGCATTAAATTATTTTCAGTTCTCTATCCATTCTTATTTCTACGTTGCCCGTTATTAATTTTTATATAAATCGTGTTCTCTATGTAAAATTCTCTCATAAACTTTTCAATATAATTTATAATGAACACGTTGCACAAGATGCTTGCTTCTATGATTTTTTAAAAAATAGATTCTTATTCTTATTTTATTGGCTGCTTCGCTTTGGCTATTCAAAAAAATATAACAATCATTTTCATTATTTTGTATTTACCCGATAAAATGATAAAATTTAACGATTTAGAAAAGAAGAGAGGATATGTGTATGTGGTATATGCTAAAATATTTGTAAAAAGAAAAAGTGCATACTCTCACTAAGAAAATATGAAATATATTCGAAGTGTGTTTTAAAATATAAATAAATATTTCTGCTTACCAGAAAATATATTATAAACGTATCGTTTTTTAGATTTCTAATTTTTACTTTTCAACATATTTTCTTTTATCTAAAATTACGATTCGTTACAACATAACATTAATACAATTGACGTGCCAAATATTAAATGTGGCGAATTCATATTGTAATAAATTTCTTTAATATTTTTCAAGATAAAATTATATTACAATTTATTTAATTTTAATATTATTGCAATTCTTTCTCTAAAAAATATTTTTTTATATCAGTAATTGTGTAATAGAACAAAGCGAAGTATACTTTATTTGTTTTTTTTAAAGCTGCGTCTTTGCGTCTCATAATTCTTTCTTTTCACTTTTAATTGTGATTAGAAAAAAACCTTAGTTGGATGTATAAATTGTGTAAGTCATTAAAATTCGTGCAATATTATAAAGCATCGAAGATTCTTAAAAGAATATATTGTCAGGTTTTTGAAACGTCCGAAACGAGATGAAAGCAAAAGGGCGTCCGTCCAAAACAATTGGCAAGATGATTATTGGTATCCACATGTACGCGTATATATGTGCGCTCTTTGCGGTTAACGAAGAAACGACAAATAAACTCTCGTTGAGTTCCAAACGTTGAATCACGAAATATTTCGTAATTTCACGAAATTCTACCTCAACAAAAAAAGTCCGAAAATTAATCTAACGGCACGAATGATAGTTTAACTTTTTAAACTTTACAAAAACGTGCTCTTGGTCCATAATTACCTACTGCAAAGATTGTAATAGTATTACATTTATTATTACGAACGTAAGAAGTTTTGTAAGAAGCAAATGAATGACGGGGCCGCAGTTATATTTTTACATTCTAAGATTATGAATTTTAAAATTTGATTAGTATCGTGTAAGAAATTATGTAATCCACAATGGATTTTCACCGAAAAATGAGAAGTTGTAACGGTGATAATAATTCATATATGACAGAGAACTCAGGTCTTTTATAAAAGTAGGATACGCTTCCTTCATTCATTCGCTTCTCTTCATTTACTAAATAAATCGGACGAGACATGATCAAAAATTCAGCGTTTGGAACGTCTGAACAACGTTGTGGACACTTTCCGTTCTTGGAGAGAAAGATGCTTCCAATGTATAATAATAGGAACGAGCGAGTCTCTCGAGTGAACGAACGAACGAACGAACGAACGAGCGAATGATGGAACGGTGTATTTAAGGGATTTAAATACGACCGCTTCCTCGAGCAACATAAACGAAAACGCATTCTTGTAGATGTTATATTTATATGTATACATATATATGCAAGCATCGAATCCGTCGCCGCTGAAATTCCCGAAGGAAACTCGCCATTCATAATTATATTTCCAAAATTAAAGAAGCTTTTCCTCCGGGAATTCCAGGACGATTGTAAAGGCTCGTATTCGCGGTGTGCGTTCAGCGGCGATTTGTTTTTATATCGTTCATTTAGCGTTAAATGCGAATGTTCTGATCCAATATTAATATAATATTTGACACAGTCAGTTACGCATTTAGCGCTAGATGCACCGCTAAATCGTGTTATAAGTATCGACGACTCTCGAAGGTACAAGGATAAATCGAAGGTTCGAATTGATGAACTCGTACTTAACTGATTTATTATACCTTCGATTATTTATGAGTATAACATCGGAAGTCGTTGTAATTATCTTTAAGACTCTCTGTCTCTCTTCCTAAAAACAGGGTTAACGAAAGGGAACTGTGAAACTGCCTTTAACGTTACGTAGAGATTTGTGTGATGCGTAAGCTCCTTGAGCTAAAGATAGATGAATTAAAAAATTTCAATTACGAAAATAATTTTTTTTTTTTAAGTGCAATTGATCTTTCAAATAAGAAATTTATTTAATAATTCTCGAATTTTTATTCTAATCAAAGAAAGTTATGTTTAAATCAAGAAATTCGAATATAATTTTTTAAAAGAAAATTGATTTATATATATTCTGAGAGAAATTTAAATAAAATAAAAAAAATGTAAATACATATTTAACAAAGATAAAATTTAGAAAACTGAAGCGCCGAATTTCCGTAGGAAGAGTAAGTTTATCGAAGTCGTAAATTTAATATAAAATCATATTTCTGTGTAAATTCTTTTTTAATTCAACTATCCTTCGTAGGATCAATATATGTGTCTTAAATTAATATAAATTTTGAGATATGCGTAGTTACATAAGATTTCGATATTCCTGAAATACTAAATTTAGTGTCGTTACGATAATTGTATGGCGTGCGCATTTACGGACCAATAGAAAATCGAGAATTTTTATTATGATAACCCATTGCGTTTCTACCCCGATAAAGTTACTTTACGTATGTTAGTTCACTTAGCATTTAATGTTATGAAATGTAATGTTAAAAACTTAGAGAAACAGACATTTATTTATATGTCGCTCGTCGGTGTACATGATAATAAAAGTTTTATACGTTTACTCGTATATTTCGTATAATTTATTTATTGTAAAAATATAAATGCCTCTAAGAAGTATAAACGTAAATCAGATATTTATCGAGAGAAATATCAGTCCTGCAAGTGAAAGAAAGTTAATGGGTATGGCCACCCTAGCGAGCATAAAAACAGCAATAAGTTTTTAGTTTAAAAAATAATTTAATATAAAATCTAATTAAAGCACTGGTTAGTGCATACACACATACACACATACACACACACACACAACACACACATTAAAGTCCACTAAAAAATTTTTTTGTTATTTTTCGCACCAAAATGGCGGCGCTACCGATGACAAAATCTAGCACGGTTTTTATAGAGATGCTCCGGAGCATGACATTTAGCATTCACAAATTTTTACCTACAGCAAAAAATAAATTTTTGTTTAATGTATATTAAAATACCTAAAGAAGTACATAGGAGTTTGTAAAAATATTGATATTTTCAAAACAGACAGGTATTTGACAGGTATTTGAAGCCACACTTGCATTTTTTGCTAAAAATTTTGTTCAAAAACTGTTCATAAAATAAAAAGTTTTTTATATAACGACAAACCCCTACGTACTTCTCTGCGAAATGCGTCTAAAGCCCCAGCTACATCTATCGTAATGTTTATCGTAAGCTCCTTACGATTCTTACGATAGCCAATTAGAAATATCAATGTGTATTGTAACGCTTTTGATTGGCTATCGCAAGGATCGTAAGAAGCTTACGATAAACATTACGATAGATGTAGCTGGGCCTTAAGAAGATGCAGTTAAAATTTGAACCCATTCGGATAGAAATTATTGAAGTTATTTGTCATGCCGATTTAAAAAATGTTGTTTTGAGAAAAATGCGTTTAAAATTCAAGCGCTCAGCTTGCGTTATATGCAAGCGCTCATAGCGCTCAGCAAACGCTCAGCTTGCGCTCATTTTTTTTGTTATAAATTCAATTATTACTTATTTTTGTGATGATAAAGTATCGAAAAAGCAAAAAAAATTTCGATTTTTTAAAAATTCTATGGTGGCCATACCCCTTAAATCGATATGTATTGAATAATGGTAAAATTCATCTAAAAAAATAAAAAATACGAATCATCGTAACATAAAAAAATATACGATCATATATATAATTAATCAAACAACTTCATTTTACATAATTTTATACTTTTTATTTTATTCTTAAGAGCATTTTTTTTTAATGTTTCGCAATGTTTTTTAAAACTGTATATCAGCTTTTAAATATATTTTTGATGAGCTATGCGTTATTTATTTAGATGTATCCGTTTTAAAGTAAATAATTATAATTTATATTAAAATATAATATTGCTGATATCAAAATGTAACTTTTTTTATAATATAAATCTTGATGTGTGTATGTTTCTACAGTATATGTAAACCTCTATGTATGTCTTTAATATTATTAGTATTGATAATACAATATTAATCGTGCAATAGACGCGGGCAATGGAATTTATTAATGTCGAGATCTATGAAAAGAATTTTGTGTTGATAATGTTTCATTAATATCAATCATATCTGACTAGAAAATATTTTAAAGGCCACACTTAGAAATATATATGCAATTCTCGATTAAAGATCGTTGTTCGAGATGAACCTGTTGCCTTCTGAATTCTTGCCAGAATATCGATACTTACATTTACCATATACACCTGGAAAAAATTGTATTACTCTAGTGTTATATTTACTATATATTTATTTACTGTATTTGTGTTATTTTTTATATAATGAACAATTTTAAGAAGTAAAAGTTATATATATATATATAATGTCAAAAATGTTTTAAAATAATTCCCAATTATACAATTTATTTCATAATTTGATTTGATTGCTATACGTACCTTTGTGATCCTGTGGATTGCGCGGCAAATTCGGCAAGGGCGTGTAATGGATGTTGAAGTATATGTCATCGAATTCATTATTGGTTTGCGTTGAACTGGGTACGAACTTGCGAATCAACTCCGGGACGAGCTTGATCGTCTTCGAATATCTGCCGCGAGTGTTAGCATTTGATCTCTCCTGCTGAGTGACTCTTCGGGAGTCCAGAAAGCGAAGACTCGGAGGTAAAATGTGGATAGCGTATAGCCTGTAACGCTCGTAATCATCTTCATCGGTAGACGTCGGATTGGTTAATTGATCAGGGCAACCGGGATTGCCCAGAAGACTCACGTACTCCACGTTGGGACAACATTCTCGTATTCTATCAAGGGCTTTATCGATATTGAATATCTAGAAACGAAGTTTATTATTTGACTTCTATATAAAAAAATTCTGTGAAAGTCTCTAATAATAAATAGTGTGTTAAAGAAATTAATAAAAGAATTAAAATAACTTAAAAACTAATATTGTTAATCATTTTTTGTATGGAGTTTCATAAATCTTTTTTGAAACATAATCTTCATAAGAATTTAATCACTTTTTTCAATATTTTTTTAAGTAGAGCACCTTATTATTATTAAGACTCAGAGTGGTCAAAGTCGGCATATGAGATAACGATTTGAGATTGTCGAGCTTGTTATTGTCCAAGATCAATTCCTGAAGCTGTTCAAAATCCTTTATACCAGAAAGAGTTGACAATTCGTTATAGGATAAATCCAAGCCGAGACAATTGTGATTAATGACTTTCATCAAACCATTAGGAATCTTTTCTGCTCTTTGCCCCGTATACCATGCCTAAATTGTCGATTATAAATACGAAAGTAAGAAAAATATTAAAATAATAATAAGAATGTGTGTATAAAGAAAATGAAGAATATGGAAAATTGCAACTACTTTCAAAAATCTGCATTTTATAAGATAAATTATTAAATAAATTTATTTAAAAAATAAATAACATTTTTTAAAATTATTTTCTTCAAATTATTTTCATCAAATTTAAATCGCTTAAAAATTTAATTGCAAAAAATTACAAATTCGTATTATTTTTAATTTAATAAATGAATTTAAATTTAAGAGAATTTTAATTCTGATTTATATATAATCCCGTATAAAAATATACTAGTGTTACTAGTGCAATAAATAAATTTAACTAGTGTCAGTATAGTAGTGTAATAATGGTGGAAAAATTTTCATTAAAATTTTACTGAAATTTTATTATGAAAATAAGTATTATTGATTAGCATCATATTTTAGAGGATATACGACAAAATTGTAAAAAAAATCTTTATGAATTCGAGAACTAATTTTATGATGCTCTCATGCGGTCACCCACCCGAATCTGTACCTCCACTTAGCATGCTTGACTTCTGCGATCATACGGGAACTCCTTCGAAGAACCATGAACATACTATAATATAATGCTAATGGGCGTATAGTTGTAACATATCTGGTCAAAGATGAAAGAAACGGAATACGTATAAAAAAATAATTAATGTTAAATATAATTGTAATGTACAATTAAATGAAGAATACCTATGATAATAACTTGTTTTTAATAATACTGTAAAATATTATTTCTACTAGCTGAAATAATACTAATTACTCCAATGATATATGTGTATTTTTTATTCTAGTAAATTTTTTGTTATTTATTACCAAATATTATCATTACTGAAAATAGTTCTATATTACGTCATATGTCGTCATATACTACTACAGTAGTAATACTACTGACTCAGCAGTGATACTATTGCGTATCAGTAGTGATACTATTGATGTCAACAGTGACATCATTGAATATCAGTAGTGACACTACTGCAGTAGCAGTGACATTAGTAGTATATTTTTATACAGGATACTTAATTTTACACAAAGATATTTAATATTGAAAATTAAAATGCTGTCATCAGTGATCTCTTCTCATTAAATATTTGTTTAAAGAAAATCAACTCTAGAAATCAAGACATTTATATTTATAAATATATATATTTACGAAAAAAAAAAAATGCAAGATCTTTGATACGCTTTTTATAACACGCGAGTGATTTTCTCTCTCTCTCTCTCTCTCTCTCTCTCACATACATTAACTGCATAAAAAAAGAAATATAATTGCTACAAATTATTTCAATAAATATAGGATTTATTCTTTCTGATTGTACTTTTTACATTTTCTTTTTTTTTTGCATATTTTTTGATTGCGTATTATATATCGAACTCCACTTATTGTAATAACGAAAAGTGCAAAAGAGTGCAGCCAAAAAACGTAGATCGGTATGCCGCAAATTCCCATAAGGGGCTCCGCACAATAAAAGGAACAGGGAACAGAGAACAAAGAAAAAGAATTTCAATCTATCAGAAATCATGTATTGTGGAATACGCAGTGTGTATTCTACAATACATGATTTCTGATAGGTTGAAATTCTTATTCTCTGTTCTCTGTTCCCTATTCTTTTTATTGTGCGGAGCCCCTAAGAGTCTATGGGATATTGACCTAGGAGCATTATGGGGCAGAATAAAACAATGAAATGTTGAGAATCATGAAATTGTGCATTTGTTTATAAGTAATATATTTTATGTATAACATCTATGCAGTGTATAAACACAATCGTTTATATGTGTACTGCATAAATAGATGTATAATATATATGTATTATTACAATATACGTATTGTAATAATACATTATACATTTTTTATTTATACAGTATACACGTAAATGATTGTGTTTATAGACTGCATAGATGTTATACATAAAATATATTACTTATAAACAAATGCACTTCATGATTCTCAATATTTCATTGTTATACTCTGCCCTATAATGCTCCTGGGTTAATTTCCCATAGGATTCCTATGTGAATTTGCGGCAGAGTAGCGCTATCAATCAAAGTGTATCGTGACATGTGCATCAATCAAACGTTATTGTGTGCAATTAAAATTGTGAAACAATTACATTTACCCGTCCGCTATCGAGCGTCAACGCACTCCTATTAAAGTCTTGCTGACTGTGGCCCGCCATGTTGAACATATGCCACGCACCGAGAATTATCGCACAGTTAATAATATAGATAACGCCTTGTGCGTATATGCGTGTGTTTAGTGTGTTAGTCGGTATACGTAATTACCGTACCATCAAAATATCCTGTATTTACATCGTTACGAACATACGGCTCGTTGGTCTAGGGGTATGATTCTCGCTTAGGGTGCGAGAGGTCCCGGGTTCAAATCCCGGACGAGCCCTTCTTTTTATTTTTTTTATTTCGATTTAAAATTTATAATACAGCTCTAACAATTAAAAATATACATATATTTATATCATTAGAAAATATATTAAAATACATTTTTATGTCATTAGAATTGAACATTCTGAGATAAAAGCAACTGTTATTAATTCTTGTTACATTTTATATTTTCATCTTACTTCAGTTTCTCTTTCAAAAAGTAATTAATTACCGTTACAAGTTATTGACTCTGAAAAGTAATTCGTTACAGTTACAGTTACTGAAAAAGTAACTTTAAGTTACTTTTAAGTTACTTTTTTCATCGGAATTTTTACTAGTAGTATCGATACCATTAGGGCTGTATTCAGAAACGTTATACAACTCTGCCTTCATGTATCGTTTTACCCTTGTTTTTCACCTAAACAAGGATGATACACGGGGTCATTAGAGTAATGCAGCCTAGGACAATTAAAACAAAAAACTGACTTACATTTACATGTTATACAATTTTATTCAAAAAGATGAAAAAATTATATGGCAAAGACGTTTTTCGTTAAAGTAATATAAACACATATGAATACAAATATGAATATGAAATAGCACACATATACAATGTTTTTTGTTAAAAAAATTCTTTTTATATTCGGCTAAAAGTTGCAAATAAATTCTAGCACTAATCCAAAATGGTGTACAACCGTTCAAGCGGAGCGCTCTTGCATTTGGCAGATTCCATTAGATCCCAAAATATAGACCAAACAGGTACAATAGTTCATTGAATGCTTTAATTAAATTTCTTTCTTCCATTAATCAAATGTTTCGAAGTATTTGTAGCGCCAAGTAGACACTACCGCATACTAAATTGACAAATAAGTTTAAAATATATAAAATAACTATGAAAGTAACTATTAAATTAGTTACTAGTTACTTAAAAGATGTAACTAAGTTAAGTTATAGTTACAGATGGAAAGAAAGTAACGAAGTTAAGTTACAGTTACTGAAAAAAAATAACTCTAACTGTAACTTCGTTACAAGTAACGAGTTACTTCCCGTCCCTGTTATTTATATATATATATTATATAATTTAATACTTTTTAGTGTATTTCTAGCATATGCAGCACATATCACACAATAGCACAACATAAATATAAAACACAAAGTTACTTACTTTTATATTGTAGTAAAATATTAGGTTACTTATTATTAATGACTTAGTAATTTCATAATTACATTATGAAGTCGTTCAAAGTTTTTTTATTTCTTTTCTTATGTATCGTACTACTTATTTTCGAAAATGGAGCTTTGCTAGAAAGATTTGCTTTGTACTCTTCAACTTTTGAAGGTCCTTGTTTATTTAATTCATCTTGCCTTAGCTCCTGTATAGAATCATTCTTTGATGAATCGAAAGGAACATTTCCATCAATCTTGGTGTCATTAGTACTACTAAAATGAATAGGAAATGCAATAAATATTTGGTATATTCTTTATGACATGTCTTATTGTACCTTGCGTTGTTTGAAGATACTTCTAGTTTTGTATGTGACTTTAACAAGGTTATTTCATTATAAAATTGAATCACAGATTGAAAAGTGTTTATAAAATCAATTGATCCAGCAGCATCAGTATGAAACAATTCTTCATTGAATGGTTTTGTAGCGATATATCCTACATACAGGATATAAATAATGTTTAACTTTCAATTTCAAAATCTGATACCATATAGCACACTGCAAGAAACGCGTACTTCTAATTAATTCTGCGCCTTCAGCTTTGTATTCCGCTATCTCTTCATCCTTCTGTTTAATCAAATTTAGCAGAATCTTGTGCCGGCGAATCAGTTCCATTGATGATGAGCAGAGAGGCATAGTCACACTTTCCCAAAATTGCTGTGGTGTTCCTTTGAGAAGATCCAATGAAAATCTCAATTTTATAAAATTTTTGTCTTTTCGCAATTCTATTCGATATGTTGTAACTTCTAAAACGTTTGCATACATATATTGAGGGATATCATTTAACATATCCAGTATCACTTGCTTCCAGTCAAAAAGTTCAAGATTTAAAAGAGGATTCATGGTCTACAAATTAATACATTTTATTATATATGAATGTGTGTGTGTGTGTGTGTGTGTGTGTGTATTGATAAAATATTTTTCTTATTCAGAAAACTGAAAAATATTCTTATTACTTGTAAAATAAATTTCAATTTACATTTTTCTTTCATGATTCACATTTATTGATGAATAAAAAATTTAATTTATATACGTAATATACATATATGAGATAGAATTGAGACGATTCGTAGTACCTGACATTTGTGAAACATAGTTTCGTCTGTCAGAGTCTCCACCCAAATTTCTATTAGGTCTGTTAAAAAAACTTTCCTCGATTCATTTTCCTTTATAGAACAGATCACATAATCTTTATTATTAATTTTGAGATTTTTCCAAATTCTGCCCTGCCCATTGTTACAAACCGAAACCATATCAATATCGTGATTTCCAATCATAACGACAAAAAATTAACGAATTTGATGTTTCAAGATTTGATTAGGTTGGTTATATATTGCACAATGTAGGTTATCACATAACCTTCATAATCTCGTTTTGTTTAACTTATTAATACTACATTTTTACAATCCATTGTTTTTAAAATATATTTTATTATATAATTTAGACATATATATATATACATATAAATCTATACATCTATACAGATGTAAAATTTCAAAAATATTAGTTTCTATTGATATTATTCAAAATTGATAGTCATAAAATAAGTAGTCTGTTTCACAGCGTGTTTCACTGGCAGAACCGGTGCGCACTCAGTGCACATTAAAGGCCGCAGCACACACTCTTGCATAACGCATAATGCATAGTGCATAAGCGAATCAACTAATCAGAATCTTTCCTTTCCTCCCATTCCATGGAAAAGAAGAATTTTGATTGGTTGATTCCTTTATGCACTATGCATTATGCAAGAGCGTGTGCTGCTGCCTTAAAGCTGTTGTACATTAACCTAATCTGACTGTATAGCGGGGAGCACAGGCTCTTGCATAACGCATAATACGTAATGCATAAGAATATGTACCAATAGAAGTTCTCCGTTTCTTTCCCTTCCATGTAATATAATAAGAGAACTCTGATTGGTTCAATTTCTTATGCCTCATGTGTTAAGCGTTATGCAAGAATCTGTGCTCCCCGTTTAATGGCCGCAGCATACACTCTTGCATAAAGGTAAATTTTCACGAGCTGCTCTAACCGGTTATTTTAGCGACAAAAAGGATCACGTGATCAAAATGGACATTTGATATTCGTCAATTTTGACCACGTGATTCTTTTTGTCGCTGAAACAGCCGGTTTGAGCAGTCCGTGAAAATTTACCTTAACGCATAATACATAGTGTATAATGGAATCAACCAATCGAAATTCTTCTTTTCCATGGAATGAGAGGAAAGGAAAGCTTCTGATTAGTTAATTCGCTTATGCACTATGCGTTATGCGTTATGCAAAAGCTTGTGCCTGGGCTCTGAAAGTGAGAGATCTCAGTTAATAAAATACCCAATGTATATTTTATCAAATATTACAATAAAATGTATTAAGGATTTCGTGGTTTAATTTATTTCTATAT